AAAAAAAAAACCACATTGGATAATGTGATAGTGAAGGGAGTGGCTGGAAGGGAGGGGTAAGGGGATAGGGAGAGAGAGACTGGTGACTTTGGATTGAATAGAAAGTGAAAGCCTTTTTGAGAAAGTGACATTTGAGCTGAAACCTGCATGACCAGGGGGAACCAACCCTAACACCCCAAGAGGCAGACTGCTCTAGATTGAGGGACCAGTCTATGAAAAGGCCCAAACAGGGACAAAGCTGACATCTTTGAAAAACAAAGGAAGTACCCTTAAAATGGCTAAAAGTTAAAACTTTGACTTTGTGCTGCCCTCATGGTGGATCCCTGCATGCTACTAGTGATTGGAGTTGGCTTCTGATGATGTGAGAGAGATAGCGACAAACCAGCCTGAAGGGCCGACTTCGGTGAGGTCCTAAGAGATTCCCATGGCGTGGCACAAGTGTGTTTTGCGACAATCAAATATTGAACATTCTTTTTAAAAAGATTTGTTTATTTTTGCATACAGAACTGGGGTACAGGCCAGAGGTGCCGGGGCAGTGAGAGTACTCACCCGAGACTGAGCGGGGAGCAGAACGGGCAGATCGATGAAGTGCACTGCTGAGGGGAGCAGTGGGCGAGACAGGAGAGGTCTGCCGCGCCATGTGGTTCACCTCCCTGGCAGGGGATCAAACACATGCTGAAGTGGTGGGACTAGCTTCGCAGTGCTGTGCTTTAACGCATTGTGCCTCCTGGGAGGGCCCAAATCTTGAGAATTCTTAAGTCCAGGACACTTGCTCCTGATCCTCCTAAGGCTCTCTACCATTTAGCTATGAAAGCTGTCCCTGTTTGGCCCTCTTTGGTGGCACAACTGGCTAAAGTGCAGCACTATGAAGCTATCCACAGCTGCTTCAGCATGAGCTCCATCCTTGGCCATGGCCCAGCAGACCTCTCCTGGCCCGCTCACTGCTCCCCTCAGCAGTGTACTTCATCCATCTGCCTATTCTTCTCTCCATTCTGTCTCAGGTGAATCCTCTCACTGCCCCTGCACCTCTGGCCTGTATGCATAAGTAAATAAACCTTTTAAAAAAAGAAAGAGAGCTGCTGCTGTTCAAAAGCATCTTAAAAGGAATGGAATCGTAAGGATGCTAAGTTTCACTTGATTCTGTATGAGAGCCATAGTTCCCAGTTGGCTCACTGTTACAAGACTAAACAGGGCCTCCCCCACCATGGGACATGCCAGAGGCGAGAGTGTCTTCATTCCCACCCTACTGGTCTGAGGCCCCAGCAGCAAGTGGAGTGTACTTGGGGTCCTGAGGGCTGAGTAGAACAAGAAGACTCAATGCTTGTGAAACAAGGACTCTGGAATCCAGAACCTTGCAGAGGGTCGCCTCAATGGGGCTTTCAAGGGACAAGCATGGAGGTAAAATGGGTTACTGCCCTCAGGCCAAGTCCTAAAAGACTGTGATCAGGAGCCATTCAGGCCAACTCTCTTATTTCGGGTGGCAAGTAAACCTGACTCGAGGCCACAGAGCACAGCTACTGACTGAGGAAAGACCCTCAGACAAACTAAGGGTCAGCATAACACACTGCCCTCAAGAAGTAACAACCTGTGAGCACCCGCCAGAATGGGAGCCACATACACCTTTGTGGTGCACAGTAAAGCCAGGAGGCCAAGAAAACAAGAAAATTTTCTGCTTTAGCAAAGTAACCCAGGAAGCTCCGTAGGCCTTGGGCCTGCAATCCTGAGGTCCGGTGAGGGGACACTGCAGGCCTCAGCAGAAACCTCCACGCTGCGATTCACTCTGGGCCCAGTGGGTAGTCTGCATCCAAGGACTGGTTTTCTTATGAAAAGCTTCCAAGGGAGGGCCTCCCCGATGGCACAGGGGTTAAAGTCTAAGAGCTATCAAGCTATCACGAGCCACTGAGGCATGAGCTCCATCCTAGACCAGGAGCTGACCTGCATGGCACAGCAGACCTCTCCTGTCTCACCCATTGCTCCCCTCAGCACTTTATTTCAGTAGTTCTGCCTGTTTTGCTCCCCCCTGCCTCTAGTGAGTTCTCTCACCCACACCACCCCCCTGCACCTCTGGCCTACACCCCAGTTCTGTGTGCATAAATAAAAATAAAATCTTAAAAAAAAAAAAGCTTCCAAAAGACATTTCTGTGGCTCCAGGTCCTGTACCTATGTGACTCCTTCCAAATAATTCATGCAGATACTTCCCCAGCAACCCAGGCTCCAGAATCAAGGAAGGCTTCAGTTGTGGCCTGAACCCCGGACTATGGACTGTCTCCTCCCTTCTTGTGTTTATTTTCAGTCCTCTGGCCCCCAGAGAGCTAGTGAGATAGGCAAAGGGGAGAAGACTCTGCTGTTAACAAACACTCACACTCACACATTCACTCTCTCTCTCTCTCTCTCTCTCTCTCTCTCTCACTCACACACACACACACACACACACACACACACACACGCAGCCTCCTGTGCCCCCACCCCCCAGTCTCAGTGATCGGCAGGTCAATGATTGACTGGCACTTCACAGGTTGTTGGCTCCAGACCCTCTCTGTTGACCCTCAGAGGGCCCTCCCTAAGCAAGGGTCCCATCCTGCCTCTTCAGTGCCAGGGCCCACTGCCCACAGGCCTGTTACGTTTTGCCCAAAGACCTTCTCCAGCAAATCTCTTGCATTTACACTCTGTCCCTTGGTTTCACCCCTCTGTCCTGAAGTCACCCCTCTCTTCTCCAGCCACCTCCCTGTCCCCAGGCTCTTCATCAGACCCTTCTGGCAAACTCTCAAGCTCTTCCAATAATCCCGCCTCAGCCCCCTCCCTGACACCCCACCCCCAGCCTTTGTCCCTCAGACATCCTCTTTCCTTGGCTTTCCGGCCAGGCCTGCTGGAGGGGCAGCTGAGGGGAGACTCAAATCAGCAGTGCCCACCCCTGCCCCCCTTCCGCTCCTCTTGTCAAACAGCAGACGAGGTTTTTTCCCCTTCCTTCCCGGCTCTGAATGGGCTCATTCTCTCTGGGAGACTCAGCCCCTCTCGAGCCTCCTCCCCGGGGGCGTGAGTCCTGACCCCCGCTCCTCCCCCATCCCACTCAGGCCCCTACTTTGGCTGGCTCCGCCCTCTCGGCACGGTCTGGAGTCTCGGTTGGTTTCCCGTGGCATTTGGGATCTGGGAGGGCTGGAGCTGAAGCGGCCAGAGTGAGGGGGAAGGGGTGACCTTTGAGGAGGGAAGTCCTGACATTACCCCGATTTCTCCCAGGTTCCTCCTCTAGCTCCATACAGGGGCCCAGGGAGAGGTGGGTTCATGGTACCTTTGACTCTGCTTGGGAGCATCATGGATGGAGCCAAAGCCTCATGGTTCAATTGCTGTTGCTTCTGGGAGTCTCAGAATCTTCCGCAAATGCAGGAAAGAGAACCTCTGCTTTCTCTGGTGCTCTGAGGACTCAGGAGATGATGGCTCCTGGGCAGCGTGGTCAGAGCAAGGGTGGAGTAAAGGATGGTGACCGGGCTGGGGGAAGACAGAGCCTGGGGGAGAAGGGAGCTCTCTCCTCCTGATGCTCCCCTCAGGTCGCTCTGGAAGCCACAGCCACCCTCCCAGGTGGAACCCTCCAGAGCAGGCAGCAATGACTCTCAGGGCCAGGTCAGCATCTCCTCTCCCTGCAGGACTGAGTCTGTGGACAGGAGAGGCACGCAGACCTGTTCCTGAGCTGTACAGTGGGTGAGGGTGAGGGGTTGTCTTAGCTGGCGGTTCAACTTTCCCCTCATTGGCGCTGAGAATGTCTTGGGCAAATTGCCTAACTCCTTGCCTCTCCCCTCAGCCTAATTCTCACCCCCACTCTACCCCTAGAGAAAGTAGGGATTTTGAAACCCACCTCAAGGACTGTTTCCATACGCAGCCATATTGTTTCAATGATTGTGACTAGATCCAAGGAATAACTCCGTTCATTGTACCTCATCACCCAGAGCACATGCCCTCTACCTCCCTCCTCCACCAGGCACTTGGGTGCTTTCTGTTTCATTCTACTTAGTTAGATCATTTTACTTGGCTTCATGACAGACCTGCTTTCTCATGGGTCTTGCAGTTGGAACATCAGTGACCAAGGTTGGTTAGAGCCTGAGGAGGACTTGGTGTGAGGGAAGGATGAGTTCCAGGACCCTCATTTGCATCATGGGTTTAATTTTGCTTTCATGCTTTGTATTCCTTCTCTGTCTCCCCAAATCTGCATGATTCAGGCCCCATAAAACTTGGATCTGGTATGGTAAAGCTGAGAGCATTTACGAAACATTGCTGTGTGCCAAGTGCTGTGTCAGTGGTTCAGGAGCACCCTCTCGTCTAAACCCCTAACACAGGGCACCAGGTGCTACTTTACAGGTGAGCAAAGTGGGGTCCAGAAAGACTCAGTCACTTGCCTAAAGTCTCACAGCTAATATGTAGCAGAGATAAGATCTGAACTAAAGTTATTCTCACTCCACAATACCCTGTTTTCAACCCTCTTCTCGCAAAAGTGTCTGCCTATAATCATGCAAGGAATAAAGCAGCTTAAGAAATGTTAGTATCCTTTGTTCTCTGGTCCTGGTCCCCTGTAGGTTCTCGGACCTCCCCACCCTCCAAGACCATAGCATGAGGTGTGGTCCTGGCGGAAGCATTCCAACTACAGCCACTAGATTTAACAAGATAAAAAATAAGGACACTTATTTAATGTAGAACTGCAGGGGTCTCCCTGGTGATGCAAGGGGTTAAAGTCTCAGCACTATGAAGCTGTGACCTGTCACTCCAGCAAGAGTTCCAGTTCGATCCCCAGCCAGGAAGCTGGCCCACGTGGCACTGCACCGAAGACCTCCCCTGTCTCACCCTCTGCTCCCCTCAGGCGTGTATTTCAGTAGATGTGCCTATTCTGTTCCCCATTCTGTCTCTGGTGAATCCTCTCCCCTCCTCTTCTCCCCCCTACTCTGGCCTATACCCCAGTCTTGTATGCATAAATAAATAAACCTTAAAAAAAAAAGGAACTGCAAATGAAAAACAAATACCATGTTAGTTATAAGTATATCCTATGCAAAAGTTTGTTGGAATTTCCAGCCAAAAATACTTCCACCACCACCGGTAAGGGTAGTGGTTCCAAGGGGCTGGATCGGGGATTCCAAATGGAACACAGGGTGAGTATGTCGAATTGGCCAGGCTAATAAAAGGTAAGGGGCAGAGAAGAAGTCTTGAATGATTTGGGTGCTGAGTGTCTTTCTGCCTCGCTCCCACCCCAAATAAGGAAACAGCCTTCCAAGGATTGAGATGGAGGGGCTCTCCAGTGCCATTGTCTCTCAACTTGCAGATTTCCTTAAAATCATGGGTTTCACACTGGGAAAGCTACTTGAAAGGTTTAAGAAGTTATGCCAGGGAGTTCTGGCGGGTTAAACACCACACACACAGGAGACTATGAATTGTGTTTATAGATGTGCCGGGAAAGCCATTACTTGATATTAAAACAAATAGGCATGATGGAGTAGGACGCAAACTCGCCAGGAATGTTTAACATAAAACCTGCGACTTAAAAGAGAATTGGGATAGCAGCCTAAAGACTCTGCCCCCTTGCCCTGGGGCGCCATCACCCCCCTCTGCTCTTAGGGCTTGTCCAAGAGAGCGGGTGAGAAAGGTTGCAGGCAACTCGGCTTCCCGGGCGCTGGAAGGGACGCACCCCAGGCCTGCGGATCGAGGGAGAAAGTGAGGCTGGGAGTTGCCACTCCCAGGGACTTGCTGGAATGCGGTTGGAGGGGTGGGGGTGGGGGGGCGAGCTGTGAGCGCGCCTGCTCCCAATCACAGGAGGAGGAGGAGGTGGAGGAGGAGTGCTGCCTTGAGGAAGTACAAGAATGAAGTTGTGGAGCTGAGATTCCCCTCCGTCGTGCCCAAAGAGCCAAGAAGAGCCCCCCGAGGCTGCCGCCCACCGCCGCGCGGGGTGCCCTTTCCGGCGCCGAGAGCCGACCCCCCACCCCTCGCCGCTCCCGGCGCCCTCCCAGCCTGGTCCAGCGGGAGCCATGGGGCCGGAGCCGCAGTGAGCACCATGGAGCTGGCGGCCTGCTGCTGCTGGGGGCTCCTGCTCGCCCTCCTGCCCCCCGGAGTCGCGGGCACCCAAGGTGAGTCTGGTGGGGGGAGGGCACGGAGCGGCGGCCGGACCTGCATCCCGGGACCCCGCGGCAATCGGGGCCTGCGGGGCCCCTGCTAGCTTCCGACTTGAAGTTTCGGACGGTGCGGGCGCTCTGGCAGCCGGGCAGCCGGCGCTCGGCCGGGGGGCGGTCACGCCGACGCGCCTCGGCTGTCCCATTCAGGACGCGGCCGGGCGCCTCCACGCCCCGCGCCGGCTCCGGGAACTTGTCCGAAAAGTTTTTTGAAATCGTTCAGAAAGTTTCTCAAGGGTGTGTTGCACGGTGTCTGTGTGCGCGCGCGTCTGCGGGTGTGCGCGCGCGCGCGTTCTCCGGTCCTGACCCCCTCAAGCTTCCCCAAAGTCTTTCCCGTCGGCAGCCTCCGCCTCCAGAGTGGGCTGAGCGGGATCTCCCGGGGGTCCCTTCTGCCAGCCCCCTCCCTGCCCCCCTCCCTGCCGGACTGGGTTTAACAGCTTCAGGCCGGACGGGGTGAGGGGGCTGGGGGCTGGCGTGGGGGAGGCAACCTGTCCAGCCGGAGTCGGTGGCCAGTCGGACCTCCGCGGCGCCTCCGGCCGGAGAGTGCCGTGGGGGAGGGGAGATGTTTGTTTTGAACAAGTTTCTGTCGGGCCAGCTTAGGGACCCAGTGCCTAGTGACTTTCGGAGATCATGGGCCAAGGAGAGGTGGAGGTGGGTTTCCCCGTCTGGGGCATAACTCCGGGGGTAGTTGCGGGGGTCCTCGGAGCTAAGACGTTGGACCCCATTGGGGTGTGCGCACGCCCGGGCTGTCCTGCCTTTTCCCTCTTTCCCAGTGGGGAAGCCAGACGGGGCGGGGGACCGCAGGGGGACAGTGGTGGTATCCTGCCCCATCCGCCCTTCGGAGCCATAACCTGAAAGCTAGACCCAGCGCTCTGTGCCAGGCACTGTGGGGTGCTTTGCGGATTTCTTCCCTCCCCAGGACAACCCTAGAAGGGAATTCCTTTTAGTATTCCCTCTGACCGGGTGAAAACCTGGGCTTCAAAAAGTAAGTAGCAGCTGGTAAGAGGTGTCTCCCTACGCAGGACAAAATTGATTTACCTTGAGCAATGGGAGACCCTGCTCCCTGCAAGACCATGTTGTGCAGAAGAAAAAAACCAGAGTGTTTTGGGAGTAGTGGGTGGTCTCCATGGGTCAGGGAGTCTGGAGAAGGGTGGCCCCTGTCTGCTGTTGCCTGAGGGCCCCTCACAGCCAAAGAGTAAGGCTGTGTTATCTGAGCGTTTTCTGGAGTTCTGCTGGCTGTGTGTATGTGTGTCTGGGCTTTGTGTTGCTAAACAGCAGTCTTCTGCTGACTTGGGGACTCGGCTGAACTCTGCCCTCTCAAGGAACTCCCTCAAGGTGCAGGGCCAGATCTGCTGTAAACACCGGGAGGAGGCCCCACGCCTTCTTTCTGAGGGAGGCTCCTCTTTCCTCTCCCTGTTTCCCAGGCAGATGTGTTCACCCCTGACCTTCTGCTGAGAAGGGTGAGGCCAGGCCAGGCTGAGCTGCCGCCTGCCTCACCTGGACCTCACCTGGGCCTCGCAATTGGGCAGGTCTCTGGGTCCTGGAATAGAGCCTCCTCCTCAGGTCTCCCTCACACCTCAAGCCGGGTGCAGAGAGAGGTGGTGGGTGTGCTGTGCAGGGGGTGGTTAAAATGGCAGCTCTCCTCCTGGCTGCTTCTACCACCCCCAACATAGTCCAGGGCTGAGGTTTGGGGCAAGAATGGGAGAGGGACAGGGAGACGAAGGGTTTGGAGAGTCTGAATTTTTCTAAAATCCTTTTTTTTTAAAACAAAGATTTTATTTATTTATGCATACAGAAATGGGGTGCAGGTCAGAGGTGCAGGGCAGCAAAAGGATTCACGAGAAACAGAATGGGGAGCAGAACAGGCAGATCCACAAAGTACACTGCTGAGGGGGGCAGCGGGCGAGATAGCAGAGGTCTGTCGTGCCATGTGGGTCAGCTCTGGGACTGGGGATCGAACTCGCACTGAAGTGGCCATGGCGTGGCTTAGCTTGGAAGTGCAGTGCTCCAACCCGTGGTGCCACCGGGGAGGCCCCTAAAATCCTTTCTTGAGGCCAAAGTTTAATGCGCTGCAGCAAAAGCATCCTTTCATCTTGCAGAACTCCTGTTTTACTTCAGTGATTGGCCTACTAGCTCTGCCTCCTCTTAGGGAAAATAACCTCATTTTAATGTTCACTAACATTAAACAATAGAAAAGATGGGGACAAATGCAAAAAGAAAAAAACACATTGTATTCCAAAGCCAAATACAGAGCACTTTTTATTTCTCTTGGTTTGGAATCATCCATATTCCTGTCACATAAACTTCACTTGCGTAACTTAAAAAAATGTCCAGCATATCTATGATATGCCAGACAGACACCCAGAACAGTTCATTTCATCACTGGATCCTGTGAGGTAATGAAGCACAGATGAGAAAAGAAGTTCAGAGAAATGAAATGACTTTTCCAAGACTCCCAGAAAAATTATAACATCTAGGGCACTTTTAGACTCTTAAGAGGAGGCAATAGAAGTTGGTGAAACTTTTCATTCTCTCCAGCAGGGGTGGGTAAAACAAAGACTTTGGGGGCAGCAGGCAGGTAGACTGGGGAGAACTTCTCCAGGCTTAGAACGTGGGGTGAGATGGGGCCCTAGAGGTCCCCCGCTGGCTACAGTTGCCTTTCCCAGTCTAGCCCATGTCTGCCTTTCTTCCAGCGTGGCAGGGAATGAAGGGACAAGACCCCTGGGATTAGCAGGGCTGTGGGTGAGGGAGACCCTGGAATGGGAGCCCGAGGAACCAGTGTGGCTGGTGCTGGGCCTGGTTATGCCTGCCTCTGGGCCCTGCATTGATCTGGAAAGAGACCCTCCCTCCGTACCCCCTCTGGGTCTCAGGGAATCCCTCCCGGGGCAAAAACAGCATCTCTCATCTCTGGCTAAGACACCTATCTTCCTCACCCTCAGGAAGAGAACTGAGGTACGAAGAAGTGCTCTATGCGGGGAGTAGGAGAATGATTATGGTGAATATTTGTGTAACCCAGCTATGTTTACAAAGCCTTGCCATGTTTACGGACTGCTTTTTATTTCATGTAACTCATCTGACTTTTCTGCAGAGAGTAAGAGTTGTGATTGTTTTCTTATCCCCTCCTTGTGGTGAGTCAAGGTCAGTGAATACGCCTTGAGTGCCCACTAAGTCACAGGCCCTGCTGGGCCTACAGGTGAATCTGATGTGGCCTCTGTCTGAAAGGCCCAGGGACTTACTCAGGGTGACACAGACAGCAGTCCAGCTGGGCTTCTGGGTTGCCTGAGCTTGGCCCCTGTCTGATACTGGGCCTAAATACCCGATGTGTGGGTGAGGCCTGGCATAACTCGCACAGGCTCTGGCCTGGGGGAGGCTTGCTTGGGGGGTGCAGGTTAGCCAGAGGAACACTGGTGCCCAGGCTGGTGAACAGGAGAAGTAGCTGGGGCTGAAGACTGGTGGGAGAAAGAGCCCTCCTGAGAGAATCTCCAGAGCTGGCACTAAGTCCTGACCGTCAGAGTCCAGCTGGGGGACATGAGGGACCATCTAGTGATGGACACCATGGCTCCAAATGGTTCCTTTTGGCTTAGGTTTTTGATTGGACCCCCTCGCTCCCTCCCTCCTACTACCCCTTCATTTTTCTCTCCATCCATCTACCCACCCACCCCTTTCTCCCTCTCTCCATCCATCCATTCATCCATCCATCCATCCGCCACCCACCCACCCACTCCTTCCTCCCTCTCCCTATCATCCATCCCCCCCCCCCAATCATCTGTCCAGCCAGCCATCCTCCATCCATCCCTGAGCATTCTCTGTGCTCTGCCCTGGCTCTGGGCTAGTCCTGCTTCACAATGACTTTGCCCCAGGGAATTTGAGCTTGGGGCTCCTGAGGGCCAGTTATCCTAGAAGCCAATGACTTCCCTATGCGGAGTGGAATAGGCCTTCTACCTTCCCCAAAATCAATGGGTGCTGGATAGACCCGAGAACCAGGTAAGGCTGGGTGGAGGGTCCAGGTGATGGGGAGTGAGGTGGAGGCAGGGGACATGTCAGAAGGGCCTTGACTTCAAGTCAGGTTGGTGGGGGTATTAGCTCCAAAGCCTCCAGCTCCCTGGGAGCAGGTCTTGGGGTACCAACTTAACCACCTGTTACAAACAAAGACTCTTAATCAGACACAAATCTGGCAAACAAGCTCATAGCGGGGCGGGGCTGCCACTCCTTCTCGTCCTCCCGCTCAGCTCAGCGCGGCAGTCCTGCCCTGCCCAGAGCCTGTAATGTTTATCGGTGGCATCAGTAGAGTCGGTGTGTGTTTATGTTGGTGTGGGGTGTGGGCTGAATTTGTGTGTGCAGTTAGGCCTTGTGGAAGGAATGCGGGCTCTAAAGTCAGGCAGACTCGTGTTCAAATCCTGCCCCACTTGAGTTTATGATCTGAGAAAAATCTAGCTCCCATCAGATGAGTTTTTTACTTGCAAAATGTTGAGGTCCAGGCCCAGCCGCTGGACAGTGGGAGGTTCCACCCCTCAGGCCTCAATCGCTGCTGCTGTCCCATTCTCCTGTCCTATGGCCTGGCCGCCACAGCTGGTGTCCCCTGGAGGAGGCAGAGGGCAGGGAGTGGGCGCGTGGAGAGGGCCCAGTGGGCTTGGGCCAGGGCCTTGGGGTCTGGGCCTGGAGACAGCTGTGCCTGTAAAGCAGCTGAAGCTGCCGAGGCCGAGGCCGGGGGACATGTGGGGGAGGCTCTGGCAGCAGGGCGTTATTTTGGGCCTGGCCTGCCACCCCCAGCTCCTGTTTCTCTTGGGAGTCAGGGGAGGGGAGAGACCCTGGAGTTCTATTTCTGGGCGCTCTCTTCTCCCTTTGTTTCCTTCCCTGTTTGCCCAGATGGGTGGGAGCTGAGACCACACTGGGTGGCAATGAGGGCCTACCAGCTGGTGGCACTCGCCCAGGCAGGAGCCCTGGAGACTTGCCCCACCAGCCTTTCCCCAGCTTGGTGTAAGCAGGGGCCGGTGGTCTCTTCTTACCCACACCCCCACCCCTGATTTGATTCTAGGCTCCAGTTTGTTGGGAGCGCAGGGCCCTGGTGTCAGTGCTCCAAGCCAGCCTCTGCGCTCGCTCGCTCGCTCGTCCCTGGCCCCAGTGCCCGTGGTCCCGAGAGGCGGAGCCGCGACCCAGGCGGAGCCAGGACCGACAGGAATTCCGGGCAGCTCAGGCACCTGTGGGCCTGTGTATGTGGGGTGTCCTCCGCCCCCTTCCCCCGGCACACCCTCCCGGCAAGGCAAGACGCACTGGATGATTCATCTTCTCACCGGAGCAGAAAAACGAGTTCAACTGGGCACTTTAATCTCCCCCCTGCTGGCAGGCACGGTGCCAGCTGCTGCCCAGGCGCCCCTCGCCATGGGTAGTTCTCATGTGCCTGGGCTTCATGGGCACTGCTGTGTCTCGGGGACACCTGGCTGGGGCCCGGGTAGGCCGGGGTGGCTGCTCATCTGGGTGCCCCTTGGCTGATGGTTGACACCGGGCAGGTACAGGGTGACGTAGTGCCCCTGTGGCAGGAGTTTCGTGGCAAGGGTTCTGCCAGCCGATTCTGGAGTCTTGCCCTGAGGAGGTGGCAAGGCTGAGGTACCAGCGTAGGAGTAGGCATCGCTTCGGCCCAGGCTCTGCGACCTGGTCTGGATGCCATGGCGGGGGCCGCTGCTCCTTCTCTCTGCCTGGGTGGGTTCCAGGCGTCCTGTGGTGATCGGGCCTCTGCTGGCCCCAGACCCCAGCTATGCCTCCAGCTGATCCTCCTTCCCCACGTTCTGGGTGGATTTGTGGGGGTGGTTATTCCTTGCCAGGAGCTTGGCATGTGGGTGGTGTTGGAATGGGGTGGGGAGAATGCCCTGAGTTTGTTTGCTTGGGAAAGAGATGGGGTACCCAGAGTATTTATGATTCATCTTGCTCCTCTTGGGGGATTTTTACCCTGGGTCCTGCGCTGTGCCTTTGGACAAAGGGAGGCTTTCTTTGCCAGAAAACACTGTGTCAGGCTGTGAGCACTGGAGGGCTGGCATCACAGGGGGCCCCTCTGGGTGCTGGGATGGTCAAGCCAGAAGGAACGTATCCCTGATTTGCCTCCTTTCCCGGGGTGCAAGCTTTCTTCTGCTGTGAACCTTGCAAGGGGCAAGAAACCTGGGAGGGGAGGCCTGGGTGGAGCTGTGCTCTCGTGCTCTGAGATGGCCTGGCTAGGGAGGGCTGTGCAGCAGTGGCCAGCTGGAAAGGCCCACTGGGCAATGCCCCTGACTGTCTCCTCCCTCCTGCCAGTGTGCACCGGCACAGACATGAAGCTGCAGCTCCCGGCCAGTCCCGAGACCCACCTGGACATGCTTCGCCACCTCTACCAGGGCTGTCAGGTGGTGCAGGGTAACCTGGAGCTCACCTACCTGCCTGCCGATGCCAGCCTCTCCTTCCTGCAGGTGAGGCCCTGGGCAACCCGGCCAGGCCCTGCCTCTGGCGGGCTTAGCCGGGGGTAGGAGAGGGTGCTCCCCTGTCTGACCTTCATCTGTTCTACTGCGAGACCAGCTAGATTCCTGGCTATCGTGGGCTGGTGTGGGCATCCTGGGTGGAAGGCACCTGCCCTTCAGCTAGTATTTTTTTCACTCTTGTCACCTCCCCTCCCCCATCCAGTGGCCCAGACACTGTCCCCTCTCACTTGGGTTAGCTAAAGGGTTGGTAGGAAACAGCTCCAGTTCAGTTCTGCTGCTGACAAGCCCCGTGAATGTGGTCTAGGCCCTCGGCCTCTCTGGGTCTCACTCTCCCTCTCTCTACATTGGGTGCAGCAGGCCCGCTGTGACTCCCATGGGGGTGCCCACTGTGAAGATCCAAAGGGAGTACACAAGAGAGGAGACCCGCTTGCTGGGCGCGTCTGGTGCCCTGGAGTGAGGCCTCCTGCATTGCTCAGTCTGTCAAGTCACAGACATCATCCCTT